TTTTTTTTTTTTGCCATTCCCCTGTGGCCTGAAAGGGGACAGCTCAGAAGACGGCGCCTCAGGTGACACGGTACTGGGGACTGAGGTGGAAGGGAGTAACCTGTGGCTTGGTTTAGAGGCTAGGCGGTGGATCTCCGTGTAGTCGCTGGGGAGAAGTGCAGAGGGTTTGCAGCCTGTGTACGTGCTGGCTGAAACCTGGACATGGCAGGCTTTTGTTTTCTGTCTTCTCTGGCATTTGTTTTACCAGAGACTGATCCGGTGAGCTGCTGGGGACAGCTTCATCTCTTGTAGGTGCACACTGTCAGGCTAGGGTGTAGCGTATAGCTGCAGTGTCCTGTTGGATCTGGTAGGGTAGAGCTGTCTCTGGTCACCAGGGTCCTACACATTTACTGTTCCTTCTGGCTTTGGGGGAGAGAGTGTTGAAAGAAAAATGAGTGGATGATATTACGGAATAAAAACTGTGATAGTAGGATTCTGGGGATAAATCGATGCGATAGAGGGGAGAAAAAAATTGGCTTTTAGATCCTGCAAGTTTCAGCACAGACTGATTGCCAGGGGAGCCTTAAGACCAAGGAGAGAAGTAGATAACTTGCTTCATTTAATGCAGAGAATCGTAGTCTCTGATTCATTATATTTGTCAGCCCTGAATAAGCTTTAAAAGACTTTGAGATTCATGCTCTAGCTCGGCAGTCTGTATTTCAGGGAATCTTATTGTTAGTCTGTGGATTTCATGCCCAGAATATGTCAGGGTTCATTTTGCTGTCTCGTAGCGAGAGAGCGGAGGGAGAGCCCTGAAGACCTCCTGACAGCGGCACCTGGCACGCTTCGCGTTTGCTCTCAAAGAGCCACAGGCTGGATGTGGCATTTGGCAGCAAAACTTTCTCACGGCAGTAGCTAAAGGACCGTGGCCCCTCGAGTAACCCTGCTTTCACAGAGCTGGCTGCGTCTAGCAGCTTGGCTCCCTCGCCCGTCTCTTGATTTTTGTCTGTCTGTTGGGCCAGAATTATTCTTCGAGTTGCGCTGCTCTCCTCGGAGAATGAGAATTAGGGAAACATTTTTGTTTGCTTTGTGTCAGGGAACAGGTTTCTCGCCTGGCTTTTCCATCTGGACGGTGATCCTCCTGTCCTTTCCATATCGCGGCAGGAGTGTTACAGTGAAAACTGTTTTATGCCTACAGTAGCTTGTGACACTGGTCCGTTGGGGGTTTATTGGCTGGAGTAGCGGGAAAGGCACGGTTTGGCAAATGAGTTGAAACTAACGGCGAGAGACGAGGTGTTTTTTTCAGAGTTTAATCAAGAAGGAGGTTGCGGGGTTGAATGCTGAAAGAGACTTTGTGTGACTCAGTCTTCCAGACGGCTGCATTGAACCCCTGCCTTAAAAAAAAAAGTTCTGACTGCTCACCAATCACA